TCATCTTTGTAGATGAGAAAACTGAGTCTAAGAGAGACAATGTGACTTGTTCTGGGTCACACAGATAGTGGCTACATGATTTTCACTGGTTTCTCCCACCCACTGGCTTTTAAAAGTATAGATATAAAAGTGTATATATGTATATAGATACATATGTATTATATACATATGTATATATACACACACACTCATACACATATATACATATATGTTATATACTATATGTAAATATAAAAGTATATATACACAAGTGTGTGTGAAATATAAAAGAGTATGTGTGTGTATATGTATATATATATACATATACACATACACACACACACATGCAGACATGCACATGTGCAGACACACATTCCTATGGAAGGAAGAGAAGGAAAGTAAGGTGGAGAAAAGAAAGGAAAAGATGAGAAAGAAAGGAAGAAGACGAAGGGAAGAAGGTAAAAGAAAATTCATAGTACCGTCTAGAAACATTAATTGTCCTTCTCCATCCTCATAACTCACCAAATCATCCTCCTGTGGGTTAGACTTAATTACAGTCTGGTTTAAACTCATACTGGACATGGTTATGAATTCTCATTCTGATGCCAGAATATGCATCTGGAAGAATGACTGGGTGGGAAGGCTCCTTCCAACTTCATTCTGTTCCAAATATGGAAATACTGAAGAATGTTAAGATTGATTTCAATGGGAAGAATTAAGTGCAGTGTCTCTGAAGGCTTCTTGGCTCTAAGATCCCCTAAAGAACGTCATAGTCCTCTGACCGACTCAAGCAGTGACATTGAAAATTAGAAGAATCATGATTTCTCCAATAACAATAACTTTTACCTGGCTTATATGACAGGGCACTGCTTAATTTAGTGATTTTCTTTTCTTTTCTTTTTTTTTAAAAAGCAGAACTAAGCCTACACATTTTTTTTTAAATCATCGTCCACTCAGTAAGTGCCTCCTATGCGCTCAATTCTTTGCTATTTTTCCTACTTTTCAGTTCCTAGTCAGAGCCTTTCTAAGTAATTATCACTTCCTTGGTATTATAAGGAAATACTTAGCAATTATAGGGATAGAGACTGGACCTGTGATTGCATTGATATAAGGAACTTTCTGGATCAGGAAACTCCCTCCTCCAATACTGGTTGGCATCTTCTCTGCAACTTTATAGCCTTTCAGAATTGCCTGAGAAATTAAATGACTCCCCCAGGGTCACACAGTCAATATGCATCAGAGTCAAGACTTGAACCCAGGTCTTTGTGGCCTCTTTTCTATCCACTATGCCACGCCATGATTCTCTCTATCACATGGCAGTTGAACTCGAAATGGTGAATTCTTAGCCCCATTTATTTAAAGGCCCATTCCTTGATAGCCTGTCATGAGGCAGGGGGCTTGACTAATTGACTTTTCAATTTCCTTTGCTGCCCTCAGATTATATGATCTTCAGTCAAGATCTTTATTTTCACTAGTGATCACTTCGATGACCCAAAGACTTTGGCTTTTTGGTATTTTATATTCATCACCACTCTAAGGGTGAAGATCTGTTATGATCTCATCAGTGTGAACCTTATCTCCTTTGGCACAGAATGCAACCCTGCAGGCCTGCCTTCCTCCCTGATTCTTGTCCTTATCCAACCATCAGTTCACCACTAACATACTGGGGGCCTTCTTGGTATTCTTATCACATTGTGTAGATAGCGATGAAGCACCTGGGCTGTCCATCACACACACATCCTTGCTCTCACTTTGTGACTGGCCTATCTTTTTTCCTGTTGTACATTTCTCACGGTCATTCATTCATTTATTCAGTGGGGTGTAGGAGTGTTCAGGGAGGACTAGCACCTACAGTGTGATGGCTTGCCAAGCCCATTGGCTACTCATCCACCATTGGTGTCCACCTTCACCCAGCTCTCACCTGTGACTCTAAGGAGCTGTAGCCACACCACTTCAGCAGATGGGCTAAACCACCCAACAGGCCACTGAACCTGTCAGTGAGTTAGTGGGGTACCTACCCCAAGCGTGAGCCATCCCCCAGCAGAATGGGTGGATGAGAACAATTTGTTCCAAGGGCCATGAAGGCGGCTGAAGCAGGTAGCGTGGAGTGCTTAGAGCTTAGTAAGATATGGAAGGTACCAGTCATCTTGACTCTTGTCTTGCCAATGGACTTTGATGACTCTGGAAGAGAGAATGTGGCTGATGACTTTATGCAACTCTGCCTCACTTAAATCTAATTCACTTGCAAGTCAAGACATCACCTTGTGATGTCATTGGTCTTCTTCAAATATGGAGGACAAACAACAACAATCCTTTACGTTAGCTCTGCACAACTTCAGGTTTGGAAAGCGATGTCGCCTGCTGTGGCCCACCATTCACCTTTCTTCTGATCTTTGGGTGAACCTCAATTCTTGCATCATGACACACAGTCACACAAAATCACCAGAATGTTGGTATCAAAAAGATGGGCCTTTGTTTCAAGGAAGAGTGTACGGTCATTAAAGGGAAGGGAACAAGCATTTATTAAGCACCTACTATGTGCCAGGCATTGTGCTAAGAACTTTAGAAAAGAACTCTGCAACATTCCACAGACAACCCACTCTGCTATCCTCTTGTTTGATTCTGGGCAAAGGTCACTATTTACTCGCAACATTGGTCCAAGATCTTTGTATTGATAGATTAAGCCCTATGAGTTCTCCATTCAACTCTATAGCATAGAGAGACAAGGGGCAGTCATTCTCCATCCATTTAGTATTTCCTTGGTGGATAATTAGGCCACACCTTTTGAACGATCTCAGATCTTATTTAGAAGTTTCCCCAATGTTACAATATAAACAGGTGCCAGGTGGCACAGTGGATAGAGCACCAGCCGTGGAGTCAGGAGGACGTGAGTTCAAATCTAGCCTCAGACACTTACTAGCTGTGTGACTCTGGACAAGTCACTTAACCCCAATTGCCGAAAGAAAGAAAAGGCACAGGTGGTAGAATCACATGCTGTTTCTCACAGGTATTCACAGTGGGCAGAGCACTAGGCCCAGAGTCAGGAAGAACTGATGAGTGTGACTCTATGCACGTCACTTAACCTCTACCTGCCTCACTGTCCTCAACTGTAAAATGGGGAGAATAGAAATAGCACCTACCTTGCAGGTCTGTTGTGAGAATCCAATGAGATGATATTTACAAAAGCAGTTAGCACCATGCCTGGCATATAGTAAACACTTAATAAATGCTTGTTTCCTCCCTCTCCCTCAATTTTTTGCTTAATTGCTAACAAACAGCGCCATTCACCTGGTGGCAGCCATTGAGTTAGAAGCCTGGGTCTAAGCACCAAATATGTTAAGTGACGCTATGTGTCCCCAGTGTTTTTTATGGCTCTAGCTTAGAATGGGGCCGCTGGCTTCCAACCTTCCCTTTGTTTGGGGCCCTGTGATCCAAGCAGTAAAAGCCCCAGACAGTGCTCGGTGCTCGGGGAATTGTGTTTGAGCTTGGCTTCTCATTTCAGATTCATTGTAAATGACATTTGCAGAACCTTTGTAAAGTCCTTCCTGGGGCACTTTTAAGCCTTCTACCTTGGGTCTGTACATACATGATGGACACAATCTCAAAGTGGAATTTAAAGACAAATATATTAGCTTTCAGTAGGCTGACATTACATGCTTGTTCACAATATATTTATTTCAGGTCCTGGGACAAACACACATGGCCCCTGTAGATGAGAAGCTAAAACAGGCAGCAGAGCTAGCGGAAATGAAGCCTGCTTAGTCCAGGGGGAAGGAAATTCAATTTGCCTCCAAAATGCTATCCCCGGGTTGTTTCTAGTGCACTTAGGCTCTAAGACAGTAGAATTCAAAGCAGCTTGAACACGTTAGGCGGATTCTCTATGTATCCACCAGCAATTTTTCACCAGGAATCTCTGATTTTTTATTTAGGCGTGGCACATGTGGACCAATGCACATTTTCATGGCAAATAACTTGAGGCCTCATTTCACAACTCAAGGGCTCAGCTTTTTGCTGTTATGACTTTTCTTTTTCTTTGGTACAGATCAAACCAAGGGAAACCATGCATCTTTTTTTAAAGAGGCTTTTATTTTTATTTTTATTTAAATTTTTTATTTTATTTATTTTAAAGAAGTTTCTGTTGAAAGACCTCTCTCCTCCCCCATTCTCATAAAATGCTCCGGTATGGCTCTCTCTCCACCTTGACCTCGATTTCTAAGAGGCTCATAATGGAGAATCAGTCAATCAACAAGCAGTTTGTGCCAAGCACTGTCCTAAGCACCAGGAATACAAATACAAGCAAAAAAGACAGTCCTCAAGGAGCTTACATTCTAATGGGGGGAGGAGAGACAATACATAAAAAGGTAGAGCAAGGGACCTGGGGAGGGCATGGTGGCTTAGTCTGGAGAATGAGGGATGGCTGGTCTGGGGTCCTTTCCCAAAATTCCCCTGAAATTTCCAATAACTCATCAAAGAAAGAAGAAGACTCCCAGTGGGGAGAGTCAGAGTTTGCTGAGGCATGGTGGTGTAGTCCATAGAACCAGGTATGCTAGTCTGGGGATCTTTCCCAAAATGGAGGCTATAAGGAGAGCTTACCAAAGGGAGAAGGACCTCTAGGAACAGAGTCAGAAAACAGCTGAGGCATGATGGTGTAACCAGACGAAAGTAGTCCAACTCAAGTAGAAAGAGTCAGAATTCAATTCCTAGCCTTCCCAGGTCACTTGTGAGGCAAATTATTATACTCCTTTAGCCATCCATGTCCTTATCTATACAACGAGGGGTTTGAATTAAATGATTTTTAAGTTTCCTTTCAGCACAAAGGCTTAAGTTTTCATGTAATTAGATTTCCCATATTTTTCCCTAAGCCAGTACTGGATACATAAAAGAAAAAGAAGAGGTGTGTTTTTCTTTCTTTTTTTAATTTAATTTTTCCTTAATTACATGTAAATTAAAAATGTTAATATTCATTTTTAAAAGAGTATTTTATTTTTTCCAATTACATGTAAAGACAAATTTTAACATTCATTTTTTTAAAATTTTGAGTTTCTAATTTTCTCTCTGCCTCCCTCACCTCTCCTGTGTTTTTCTTTAAATCATATACTATCCAACTATTTTTCTATCATAAAGTAGATCTAATGTTGCTCTTTGAGGACTAGCTGATTTTCCCACCTAGAATCACAGAATTGCAGCATTTGAGAGTCAGAAGGGACCTTAGCAGACATTTAGTTAGCCAGTACACTCAAAGGTATCTTCATTATAATATACTTGGTGAATGGCTGAGCCTACTATTAAGAAAATTACTGTTTAAAATGGTCACTAATTCTTTCTTTTTCAATGCAATTCTCTCTTGAAATTTTTATCTTATTTTTATCAGTCTTTTGTTTTCATATAGATCCAAATAGATCCCTCACTACTCCACTATCCAGCAAGTCATTGCTCATAACAAAGAGGAAGAAAAAAAAGCAATTCTGCAACACTAAACTCCTCAACCCTGCCCAACAGGGCATGTGCCATTCCACACTTCATGGTCCCCCAACTCTACGAAGAAGGGAGGGAGATGAAATGTGTACCTTGTTACAGGTGACTTCAAGTATTTGAAGGATTCTGATGAGAAGAAGAATTAGGCTTGTTCAGCTTGCCCCGGAGGATACAACTAGTAGTGATGAGTGGAAACTGCAGACAAATTGAGGCTTGATGCAAGGAGAACCTTCCCACCGATACCCTAAGTGCAACGGGCTGCTTTGGGAAATGATGAGTTTCCACTCTGTAGATGTTTTCAAAAGCTGGACGACAACATGTCCAGTGTGTTCCAGAGAACAGGATTCTTGTCCAGGTTCTAATTGGACCAGACAACCTCTAGGATTTTGCAGTTCTGTGTCATGCCATGGTGGGTGACTTTCTCCTTGTCGAAAAACAAGAGAGAACAAATTTTAAAACAAAGTGCCAAATGAATAATATTGAGTGAGTCTCATATGAAACAAGTACAAACCCTTAATAAATGATGCCATTAAATTTTGTGGTTTTTTCATAATTATTTTTAAAACTAATATTCCTTATTAATTATTTTAATCATTTGGCAGGAAGTGACCATAAGGATTATGTTTATGTTTTTCTTACTTGCTGAAATTTGAAAGCCAGTTAGTGGGACATACTTTAAACCTATCACTGACTTCTGTTTTTAGGTAGCATGGAAATAATGTTTCATAAATTAAAATCTTTTCTCGGGGTAGTGTAGTATGACAGACGGAGCACTGAACTTAAAAGTCAGGACAACCCAAGTTTGAATCCTGCCTTATATACTTATCAGTCATGTGACCTTGGGCACTGAGTCTGTTTCTTAATCAACAAAATAGGTACAATAATAGTCAAAAAGCATTTATTAAGAATTCATTATGTGTTTAATAGTGCTAAGTGCTGGGAATACAAAGAAAGGCAAAAGATAGTCCTTCCTTTGGAATTCACAATCTAATGGGGGAAACAACACATAAACAACTATGTACAAATGTCATATATAGGATGCATTGGAGATAACCAATACCTGATATATCTACCATACAGGGTTGTGGTGCGGATAAAAAGCAGTTAATGCTAACCTTCAAGTTCTTATTATTTGCATGGTATTATGTCCCATAAGAAAGGGAACTTCCTTTTTTTTCTTCTCAAAGAAAGTTTGTATACAAAATACCTATTGAATGAGAGGGGAAAATTTTCTATTAATACTTCTGAGCCCAGGAGATTGCAAGTAATGCATTTTAAAAATATTCACCAATTTATTTCTAGTTTTATTCTGTGTAATTCACATGTTTTACTGTATTTATAAATCACTCCTAGATGTGCTGTCTTTCCCTTCATTGGTTTCACTTCCAAAGAAAGGCCATCTATTTCTCAGTCTATATACAGACAAGAATATTTATTAGAAATTCTAAAGAACTCCAGAGTCAGACAAACCAAAGGTTTGGCCCTACTGAAGCAGAGCTCTGTCAGGGAGGGAGAAAGGGATTAACTAGAAGGGGGAGAAGGAGGGTGTTGTGGGGGAAGGGAAGGAAGGGCCAGGGGCCTCTGGGTAGTCAAATATGCCCAGCATCCTTGGCCGACGCTCCTATCCATCCATTTCTGTCCCTGGCTCACGCTGGACAGCACAAATTATTCTTTGTCAGACCAGTCCGGTCGCCTTATACTTATGCATGAAACAAAACAAAGCTAAAAAAAACCACAGCGTACACATTTCCAAGCCTGAAGGTCTCCTCTTTGTGTATTAGACCTCTTTATTATATAACGTTGCTCGTGTAAGGTGGATGATGATGGCCTGTTTAAATGGATAACGTTAAGCAAATGAATCAGAGCATAGAAAGGCAACCCAGATCTTTCAGTTTGCTCACTAGAGCTCATATAACTGCAAGCCTAATAAATGGCTGAGCTGGAAGAGCATTCTGTGTATTGACATGCAAATAAGAACTCCAAGGATCACTTTTTTCCTTCTAAAACTACCCATCTCTGGCAGATCTCACAGCAAGTCACTTTTGACTTCTAGACTGTAAGTTCCTTGAGAGCAGGAACTGAGTTTTCTGTCACTTTGTATCCCCATGGGATCTAATGCAGAGCCTGGCACTTAATAGGTGTTCAATAAACGTTTGTTGAATGAGTAAAGGAATGAACAGCTCTTGTTTAATCTGTTGAAGAGGGTAAATGGGGTATGCATTCCACCAGTCTTCATTCTTTTTAACTTTCTTGTATTTTAGGGAGGGAGGGAGGGTGGGAGGGAGGAAGGAAGGAAGGAAGGAAGGAAGGAAGGAAGGAAGGAAGGAAGGGAAGGGAGAAAGGGAAGAAGGAAGGAAAGGAGGAAGGGAGGAAAGAGGAAGGAAGGAAAGAAGGAAGGAAGGAAGGTCTTCACTTCCTGAAGGTCCCTCAAATGTGTTTACTAGAACCCAGATTTTTTTCTGACTCTGGCTCAGCAGAGGATGCTGGGCATTATAGAGAAAGCACAGGACTTGAAATTAGAGGAGCAGGTTTCTAGTCCAGGTTCTGATTCATAATTAGTCATGTGAACTTCTTTGTGCTTCAGTTTCCTCATCCATAAAATGGGGATAACAATAAGTGTAGTACCTAACTCCCAACAGGAGGATTAAACAGGATGGTCCATGTAAAGCATTTTGTCAACAGTAAGGGGCTACATGACAATAGCTAGACAGGTAGATGTGAAGTAGGGAGAGACAAGGCAGACAAAGAAAACCTAATTCTTGCCTGGTTGTCATTCCCTGTTCCAGGTGACCACAATGAGACTTGGGGGTTTTGCAATGTGAGATGATGAAGAAGACCTAAGCCTTAAGGCCTCAGCATAGCTTTAAAAGAGAAGACCACATCCAGTTGGGACTCTCTTGGCTCCAGCTTCCCAGATGGGCCTCATGTGATTCCAGGGGGAGAAGCCCTTCCCTGCTAGAGCATCACTGACCTTATTGCTGCTCCCCACATGGATTATGGATGATCTCAATGAGGTAGGCTTTTTGCCAGGGCCCCTGATCACTTTCACTTTTTGTATATGCTTTCTTTCCTGGTATTAGGCAAACAAATACATTATGATCACATTATCTGGGACTGGTGGGTGACCTGGTGAGTTCCAAAAGGTCTGAAGGTCCTTAGGAGTCCTTAGAGGTGGCTGTCCTGCCCCTGGAGCAGAAGGAAGATTAACCCAGGCTTGGCTATTTGATTGGACAGTGCCCAGCCAAGATAAAACGTAAACTGGCGAATTACATCCTAATGAGCTTTTAATGTTGCCTCCCAGCCAATTGGAACTACAGTTAGTTAAGTTACTAAATTTCCTTAATTCTGTTCATGCGTATTGTGATTCTTCACAGTTCAATATTTCTTTCTGTTTAAGAATAAAGACGCGTCCCATACCCAATTCATGTTTGTCCACTGAAAAGGGGGTTTGGGAGTGCCAGCTCCAGCTGGCCACACCCCCGATCGTTAAATTTTCAGAGTCAGCATATACACCTCAGCCACCAGCAAACACCACAATCAGAGCTTGAATCATTGTTTTGTTGATTGTCTAGATTTAAGAAAGTGATGAAGAAAATGTCAACAATGCAATTTAAGCTTAAAAGGCATCACGGTATCCATTTCTCTACCCCTCCCCCGCCTCCTCCTGCTGCTGGTGGTCAAACATTTACCAATACATCCCTGACTGAATGCTTCTTATACTCCCCTCTTTGGAGTATCCCTTACACTTGCCAGCCACAACTCTCACCATAATTAGCATCATCCTAGGGACACCAAGGTGGAGGTTTATTAAAGATCCAACTTAGCAGACCGATGAGTTGAGAATGAGGAGCCTAATTTCCCTAATTAGAGGTTAGGCTTCTTTAGGCCTGAAGTCAGGGTCAAACTGAAATGTCCGGTTATTGAACAGGGAAGAGTAGGTGTCCAATCCTCCGCAGGCTAAGCTAGGGGTGGGTGCCCTTTATGTTAGACTTAACTCTCCCCCGATTCCCTACTCAAATCTCCCCTCACCCAGGAAACCCTCCTGAATCACTGTTCTATGATTCTGAGCACTACAGCACTCAACATTAACTGAGCACTCAGGTTCTCAGATTGGACCAGATCAATTGATATTTGATTTGTAAATGTTCCTCAGTTGTTTCTTGCATGTATGTTTTGTTTCCATAACTAGGCTTTAAGCAACAAAAAGGGAGGAAGCCTGTCTTCTATTTTCTTGTTCATCCCCTCCCCACACACCCACTCCCCACCCCCATGCCGAATACAGAGCTCCGTGGGTGTTCAATAAAAATTGTTGACTCACTGGCATGTAATAAGGTGGTAGGGTAAGGAAAGCTGGATGTGGGCCAAGGCTTTCCAGGCTTCAGCCCAACCTGGAGTGTATTAAACTGGAATAACATGATAACATGTGGGGATAAGCAAAAGACTCCAAGAGCTGGTTGGAATCCAGAAGACTGTGGTCCCACTTCACTATAGCCTGCCATGCATGACCTGTCTTAAACAGGTGAATATTCTAAACCTAAAAGTGGCCCCCAAATATGGCTCTCTGTATGCCAAGTTTCTGCCTAGAGTGCAATTTTATGGCTGAATGATAAACTCTTGGAAATAGAGGTCTAAATGGAAATTTTGATAGAGTATTAACTACACTAGAATGAACAGCCCCACCATAATGCCTTATTTACTTCTCCTGAGGCTAGCCCGAAGAATGGCTGATGATATATTCATGCCACCACAGATCATTCCATCGGTAAATCACCTTTGATTTTATTTAGGAGGTTGGCATTGCAGATTTTCACCATTAATATAGGAAAAGTAGTCATAATAAAAAAAATAAAAACCAAACATGATACTAGGCTGTCCCCCTATGCGGAATGAGCTCCCTCCTCATCTTAGCCTCTTACCTTCATTCAAGACTCAGCTCATGGGCCACCCCCTGATCACTCTCACTGTTATCTGGAAATATCTTCTGAAATTATCTGTTTCTATGTTGAGTCTTCCCCACTTTCCCCCAATAGGAGAAGGAAGGGACCTTTTTTCTATTGTTGTTTTTAAAACCCCCGTACCTACCGCAATACCTCACAGCTTGTGTGCAACAGGCCCTGAAGGCGGCACAGAGTATCAAGCCTGGAATCAGGAAGAGTTGAGTTCAAATCCAGCCTCAGACGCTTACTAGCTGCGTCACTCTGGACAAGTTACTTCTGTCTGCCCAAGTTTCCTCAACTATAAAGTGGGAATAATAATAGCATCTACCTCCCAAGGTTGTTGTAGGGATCAAATGAGATCATTTTTGTAAAGCACTTAGCACAGTATCTAGCAGAAGGCTGCACTTGAGGACCTAGAGGGCCACATGTGGCCTGGAGGCCATAGGTACCCCACTCTTGGCCTCGCATATAGCAGGTACTTAACAAATTCAGGTTTCCTTCCTTAAGAAATTTTTGTGGGGGGCAGCTAGGTGGCACAGTGGATAGAGCACAGGCCCTGGAGTCAGGAGGACCTGAGTTCAAATCCAGCCTCACACACATAACACTTTCTAGCTGTGTGACCCTGGGCAAGTCACTTAACCCCATTGCCTAACCAAAAAATAAAAATAAAAATTTTGTGGAAAGAGACTGAATTTGATTGGTATTTACTTAAATTAGGGCCTGCCTTGAGTGGAATGGATGACTGCCTACCTGGGAAAGCACCTGGAAGTAGTCCCCTCTTAACATATCTGCCCACACATCTTAAGATTTTAAAACAATGAGACTTAAAGAAATAAGAACAATCCATTCATTTAGCATCAATTGCAATAGCCTAGCTACTTAAAATTTGGATTAAAATCTACTCACTACACAAGTATACAAAGCAAGGAGAGAGAGACTTCAGTTAAGGTCTACAATCCAACCATTTGATTTAATTCAGCAAACATGTATTACGCATTTATTACATATAAGGCATCTGAGCTAGGTTCTGGAGGGAACAAAGAAAAAAACAAAACAAAACAAAAAACCCACAACAACCTCTGCCTTCAAGGAGCTTATATTCTATTGGTGACATGAAACATGTGTACAGATAAGGTGAATACAAGGTAATTTTAAAAGGATATCATTAAGTGGGAGGATCAAGGAAGGCTTCCATGGCTGAAACGAACTAATGTATGTAAAGCATTTTTCAAACCTTAAAGCCTACATAAATGTAGGTTACCATTATTATTATTATTATTACTGATGAGATACAGACATAGGGAGGGAGTGTATTCCAGGTATAGGCAAAAGCTTGCACAAATGCACATTAGTAATTTTGGGGAAAAAATAAATATTATTTTTAAAAAATCAAAAGCGCATTAGTGGGGAATGGAATTTTGAATTCAGAAAACAGCTAGCAGTCCAATTTGGCTGGAGTGGAAAGGGCATAAAGGGAAACAAGGTGAGATGATGCTGGAAAGGTATCTTGGAGCCAGATGGTGGAAGTCCTAAAATTCCAGGCTCAGAAGTTGGTGTTTTATCCTAAAGGCAACAGGGAGCAAGTGAAGGCTCTTGAGCAGGGGAGAAACATGATCATCTGTGCCTTAGGCAACTATGTGAAGGGTGGGGAGCAGATTGAGAGACTGGAAACAAGGAGTGCAGTAGAGAGAGTGTTTCAGGTCACAGGTGATGAAGGCTCCTAACAGAGTGGTGGCCATCTGAGTGGGAAAAAGAAGCATGAATGCCAACTGTGTGATGGGGTCAGAATAGGCAAGAGGACAATTGACTGAATGTGAGGGATGAGGAAAATGAAAGAATGAAGGGCAACTCTAAGGAAATAAAGCCCAGAAGAATGGAAGGGATGGAAGTTTGGAAGAAAGACAGGTTTAGGGGAAGGATGATGAGTTCTCTTCAGAATAAATTAGCAAATCTATGCACAAATGAGCAAACATGATAATATATTATCTTTTCATATAGTCTTACATGCAAAGGCTAATTGTTTATTCCAGTAAGGACTCCTGTCTTGGTAAAGGCACACTCATCTCATCTACAAAGGTATATTTCATAGTTTGGATTTAACACCAGGGAGCCAGAGACTCAATTAGCACCTAGGCCCCAGACAAAGGCAATAAAGAATTAGTTACATAAACAAAGGCTTTGAAAAAGAAGACTAAGCAAAAACATAATATGTGAATTTTATAAATGTTGTCCTCACACTATAGACTAAACTAGAGTTTGGAGATTATATATAAAGAGAAATGGAAACTGTTGTCTTCAGGAAAATCACTTGGAATGAGGCTAGCAGGGTTGGTTAATATAGAGAGTTAGATTTAGGAAAATGTGTAATATAGAAAGAATGAAACTAAACAAGAATTGCTGTAGAAACATTAGTTGCTATGAAACAAATGAAAAAAGTAGGAATGAGGGGATCAGTTGATAGTTTCTTGATACAGGGTATGTAGATGGAAAGATGGTTCTCAGTTGAGAAGCTAGAATGTCTGATGAAAAGATATAATCCTGCCCCCTATCCCTGGGCTAATTCCTACTGGTTCCACTTTTTTTTAGTTATTCCTCTGAGCCCTGGTAACAAGTTGGAATTGACCCTAGCTTGACCGGATTGGACAATGGATACTCGGGTAGATGGGGAGGGAGGCAGCTATCCTTAGGGGATTTGCTTGACTGCAGTTGGAAAGTGGAATACTCTGGTAGATGGGGAGGCAGCTGTCCTTAGGTATTTGCCACAGCCAACTTGACTGGAATTGAAAAATGGATTACTCTGGGAGGTGGGGAGGCAGCTGTTCTTTGATGATGAGAGGAAGCCTGAATAGGATCTGGCCACACCAAATCAGGTAGATGTTAAAAACTCTAACTCCTCCTGATGAAACTTTAGAAAAAAAGAAGCAAAAGGTCATGACCTTGCTGATGTACCCTGACTAACAAAGTATGAGAATGGGTTTTAGATTGTTTGGACTTTTTGTTGATGGCATTTGTGTCTTCTTAATATCACAACAAAGAATGATTCTTGGACCATGGTAATGGGCTGCAGACCCATTACCCAGGCCTTGGGATTCCTCTACTTCTCCTTCCCTTTCTCCATCTCTTCTTCTTTCTTTATTCCCCCAGGAAAGATCCACCTCCAGAGACAGAGCTGCCATTATTCAACTTTCCCATACTACATTGGGAAGAACAGGCAGCAAACTACACCTGGGGACAAGAGTGGGGAAATGTGGAAGTCTTAGGGTGTGGGGATGGGTCAAGTTTTGTTGCGTTCTCGATGGAGTATATTATAGCATACCTTTTGAGAACCACTACCTTAGAATGATCAAACCTTGGCATTGTTACTCTGTTCAGATACCCCTAGCTTTTGCCAGAGGTTGAAGATTTACCTGGATACTCAATAATGACCCTTCTAGATCTGGCTTGTTCCATTCCCACTGCCCAAACCTGTGACTCACCATCATCACCCCTTCCTTCCCCAACCAGGTAGGCACATCCACATCCTTCAAATACCTCTCAGTCCATTGGCCTGGAAAGGCAGAGAGCAAGAGAAGAACAAAGGAAAGGCAAAGGTACTATTCAGAGATGCTGTGCAGCTGTTAAAAGTGGATTTAAGCACTCATGAGTAGTGGTAGTATAGCAAGGGTACCTCACACGTTCTGGACATTTGGACTTTGGTCAATTTCCAATATAATCACATTACAGATTAGATTTAATACAATGGCTTTTCAAATGTGGCACTCTTTCACTGGCTGTCAATATTGAAAAACAACAAATATCCAAGTTCAAATTCTATTGGGATCTATTTAGTCTGGCCAACATGCATTAATTCAGCATAAATTAATAAGTAATTAGTTGGTAATTAAGTATGGAGGCATGCAAAAGCAATACAACATACCATCTTTGTCCCTGAGGTGAAGGAGATGAGCTGTCAAAATGGTTTTCCTAAAGCATAGGTACAGTCATGCTACTCCACAGTTCAATAAATGCCAGTGACTCCCTATTGCCTCTAGGGTCAAATACAAAGTTCTGGCATGTAAAGTTATTCACCAACTGATCCCCATATCTTTCAATATTTATTTTACCTTATTCTCCTACAGATTATCTATGATCCAGCCAAAATGGCCTTCTTGCCATTCCTTCATCCCCATTCCCCATCTCTATGCCTTTGTATAGGAAGGAAGGAAGGAAGGAAGGAAGGAAGGAAGGAAGGAAGGAAGGAAGGAAGGAAGGAAGGAAGGAAGGAAGGAAGGGAGGGAGGGAGGAAGGAAGGGAGAGAGAGAGAGAGGGAGGGAGGGAGGGAGGAAGGAAAAAAGGGAGGAAGGAAGGAGGAAGGGAGGGAGGGAGGAAGGAAGGAAGGAAGGAAGGAAGGAAAACAAGCATTTAGTAAGCACTTACTATGTGCCAGGCACTGTGCTAAACTCTGAGGATAAAAAAAACAAGTAAAAAGAAAGGCAGTCATTGCCTTCAGGGAGCTTACATTCTAATGGCAGAAGACAGCACACAAAAGGAAGTTTAAAATTAGAGATGGTGGAATGCAGGTACTTGGCACAGGGGCATGGTTTTGAAGTCCAGAAAGTCAGGAACAAGATGAGAGGAAAACAACAGCACAGGATGTACTTGAAATACATTTCTTACCTCTTTTTTTGGAATCTCTGGTTTTCTTCAAGACTCAGCTCAAGAGCCATCTTCTAGATGAGGCCTATTTCCTGATAACCCAAGCTGCTAACCCTGCCCCTCCCCCAGCACCTCCTGCCCACTAGTTTTACACTCTTCCCTATTAGACTTTAAGCTCCTTGAGGGCAGAGACGATCGTTCTTTTTCTCATTTGTATCCCTGGCACTTAGTGCAGTGCTTGACACACAGCAGGCACTGAATAAGTGTGCATTGGATTGTGTTAGAGTGTGCTATATAGTACTACACTGTGCCATACACTGAATTATACACTGTATTATATCGTATTGTGTTATGTGTCACCTCCCCTGATAGAATATAAACTTCTTAAGGGCAGACTGCTCATTTTTTGCCTTTGTATTGCCAGGTCAGAGCACAGTACCTGGTCTAAAAGTGGTTAATAAATGCTGATAGATTACTGGATAAATTAGCAACTTACCTAAGGCCACACAGTGGGATTTGAATCCAGGTCCTTTGTCTCCAGAACCACACTTTCTCCACTCTTTTCTGATGTCACTCAGTGAGAGGCCTTAGAAGCAGGGAAAGCATTTTAGGCCCGAGGAGACTATAGTTTGTTCTTAAAATTCCATAAACTGAAGTGGCAGGGTCCTGAATTACATTAGTGAACTGTGTCTACTAATGGAATTCAGTGTCTGCTTCTACGAGTTGTTTTTTGTTTTTTTTTTTTGTTTTTTTGCTTTTATTTTTTTAACACGCAGTATACAAAAAATATACCTAAAAACTTAGAGTTAGTTAATTAGCAGAATTTCAATTCTACCTTTATATTACTGTCGGACTACATTTTCCATCTGGGACATTTTTTTAATAGATTGGGGAGGAGCGTTGGGGGGGGAGGGAGAGATCAAAGCTAGTTGAAAAATCTTTACCTGATGACATAAAGCAAAATTTTCCGGGAAGGTTTTCAATCCACACTAGCACTGTTTCTATCCTTCGCTCCCCTTGCCAACATTTCTCTCCACACAGCTCACTGGGTGTGAAAAGTGTTCGTGACGGCTGAGCCCTGCATGGTGAGATCCCCAAACCCTTTTACCCCGATGTGCTCAGTCCCTCTGGGTTTAAACAGAAACCCACGGGCCTTTAGGCTCTTTGTGTCTCTCCGGTCTCTCTGGCAATCTCTACAGGCTCAGCATACCTTATTTTTAACACCCATCATTTCTTTAGCACAGGTCATTTGGCCTTTCTTTCAAAAAGCTCAGTTGTTGGGGTTTCACATCTTACAGACTACAAATCTCATTTAGCTGAAACTTGGCAGGCAGACTGTCAGCTTGGAGTGAAAACTGTCTGACTAAAACGGTTTCATTTTATTGATTGTATGGCCAGTTCTCCTCTTAGTGATCTCCCACTTCAGTCCTATGGTTTCTGAGACTCTTTATCCTAAATTTGGAAACAAAAGGCCTAGAGTGGTTTCAGACTCCTCCTAAGGCAATTTATTTCAAGAGTCCTGGGTTGCCCAAATCCATTTTGGAACCAATTTCTGTCTTTTTAAATCTAGACTTCAAGACACAACAATTTTGGTTAATTTTCCAGTAAGTCCTTCAGGCAAATTAAACCTCAGGTCAGGCATCAGAGGAGGCAAGTCAGTGGTATAATATTTCCCTACAAGTTGGCCATTTTTGTTTAATAATTGGCACCTATAGAGAGGTAAGATAAAAAAAATAGTTCTGAAATGTAACCCAGAGGAGAAAAGGCACATAAGGAATTCAGAGTTGAGATGGAAGGAAGGAAGGAAGGAAGGAAGGAAGGAAGGAAGGAAGGAAGGAAGGAAGGAAGGGAGGAAGGGAGGGAGGGAGGGATGGAAGAAGAGAGGGAGAAAGGGAGGGAGGGAGGAGAAAGAAAGAAAGAAAGAAAGAAAGAAAGAAAGAAAGAAAGAAAGACAGACAGACAGAAAGAAAGAAAGAAAGAAAGAAAGAAAGAAAGAAAGAAAGAAAGAAAGAAAGAAAGAAAGAGGGAGGGCTGGGAGGAAGGAAGGAAGAAAGGAAGGAAGGAAAGAGAAAGAAAAGTCAAAAATGTGGATTTTAATTCATGAATCTTTTCATGTAAAGACAGAACTTAATAGAACTATATCTTAACATTTCCTATCTATAGCTAACAATATTTTTAAGAACTGATGAAACGCAAATTGTTTTTGTTCTTTCAACTTATCATATGTTTTAAATAAACCTTATGGAGTAGATGTGTCTAGGTATATACCCTGGGAGTAATTCCTCTAGGCAAAGCAAACTCTGAAAAATGTGAATTTGTTTAGTCCTAGGCTCATTGTTGTCCCATTGATACCACACTGATGATGTCCACCTAGGACTTGGCCTCTAAGGGAACTCCGAAGACCCTAGAAAGCTAGAATGAGATAAATAAGACAGAAAAGAGATGACCTTTGAACAGAGATACGCCCAGTTTTCTGTAAAGAGGCCTCTGTAATCATAGAGTCTCAGGGATGGCAGTGGATGGGGCCAATATCAGAGTAGTGACAGGTTCTCATGCAAAATGGGAGTAAAAAGAATTTAGTACAACAGAAGTTGTGTGGCAATGGCATAGTGAAAGAGGCCCTCCAAGCCCAGGTGGATCATCAAATTTAGCTAGGTGGTCTAGTGGATAAAGTGCTAGACCTAGAGTCAAGAAGACCTGAGTTCAAATGTGGCCATGGACACTTACTAGCTGTGTGATCCTGTGCAAGTCACTTAACACCTATTTAAATTTCCTCATCTGTAAAATGGGAATAATAAGAGTGCCTTCCTTACAGAGTTGTTGTGAGGATAAAATGAGATGATATTTGTAAAGCATTTTGCAAACTTTAAGGTATTATATAAATGCTATCTATCTGTCTGTCTGTCTGTCTCTCTGTCTTTTCTCTTTATCCAGAGCAGCAGCATTATCTGTGAGAACCAGAAGGGAGATATAAGAAGGCACAGAGTCATGAAGAAGAACAAACATAGACCTTGCCCTTCACTAGCACTGTGAGTTCATATGGATCATAAAGGTCCATAGACAGTAGTACAAAGTAGTTGCAGACAGCTGTAGACAGTATGACTATCTAGTAACACCAAATTTTAAAAGGGAAAAATATAAATTCATACTTAAGTTTTTTAATGGCTTCATTGGTACAAGAAGGGGGACAGATGGTTAGATAGCAATTTTCTGGAAAAAATATTTTTTTGGTCGGTTTTAGTGACCTAAAATGTCAGTATGAGTTAACAGGGTGATTGATATAGGATAAAAAGCAAATGCAATTTTGAGCTGCATCAAGAGAGATGTAGTTTACAGGAGCAGAACAACGATCATCTCTCTAAACTCTGACCTAAACAGGTCATATGCGCAGTTTTGTGTTCAGTTCTAGTGGCCACATTTTAGGAATGATATTGACAAGTGAAAGATCATTCCAAGGAGGACAACCAGGAAGATGTTGGGTCCATGTCATAGTGGGACCAGTCAAAGGAACCAAGGATGTGTGGCCTACAGAAAAGGGACAAGACAGCTATTTTCAAGTATTTGAAGGGCTATGATTTGAAAGAAAATGTATTTAGACTTGTTTCATTTGGCTCCTAAAAAGAAACCCAGGAGCAATGCGTAAGTTGTTAAGAGGCAAATTTCCTAACAATCTTCGTTGTTGTTCAGTCATTCAGTCACATCCAACTCTTCATGACCCTGTGGACCACTGCACATCAACACTGTCCATAGCATTTTCTTGGCAAGAATGCTGGAGTGTCTTGCCAGTTCCTTCTTTGGTGGATTAAAGCAAACAGAGGTTAAGTGACTTGCCCAGGGTCACATATCTAGTAAGTGTCTGAGGACAGATTTGACCTCAAGTCTTCCTGACTCCATTTCTAACAGGTTTTCATTGTTATTGTTCAATTGATTTTTAGCCATGTCCAACTTTTCACGACCCCATTTGGAGCTTTCTTGGCAAGGATATTGACCGTATTGGCCATTTCCTTCTCCAGCCCATTTTATAGATGAGGAAGCTGAGGCAAACAGGATTAGATGACTTATTAGACTGAGGTATCTTCCAACTCTAGAACACTGTAATTCTTTCTGCCTTTGCAGAAGGAGACACCCCTGGGGAGAGTGAATATAAATCCCAGGAGAAGATGGGGCCAGCTATTGGAATGGGTTGCTTAACACTTGGTATTATCGATTGCTCTTCCCTGGCAGGGGAGCAACACCCAAGATAACACCTTAAGTTTAGAGAATTGTATAGGTCTTTGGGGGATGCAGAGGCCCATAAAAGGGGAGGAGAGGTATCTTGACGTTTTATGGGCTCAACAGTGAATTCTTTGGGTTTTGTTTGGTTTTGGGTTGAGAAAATAAAGCCTGTCCTATATATGATGTCTTGTTAACTTCAGAATTTGCATGGGAGCCAGGGGACCCTTTTCTCTTTTTATGTGGAGACCTAAATATGAACCAGATTCTGATATTCTCAGGGGAAACCACGGGCACAAGCTAAAAAGAAGCCCCCAAGTTTGACCTTATTCTGTGTGGGCCCAGAGCTCTTATAATGGGTCTGTGAATTGTGACTTACACAAAATCTTTTTGAGAGAAGATCGAAGACTGCCAAATTTGGCTAGAAAAGAAATGTAAATAAATGCATGTCGATATTTTAGAATAGACTCTTTAAACTAAATACGACATAGTAATACTTATATTTCCTCAGCACTGTGATACTTACTTTCAGCCCTTAGTTTCCAAACAGTGTGACATAAGCAGATATTTATGTAGTCTTTTCCTTGTAATAATGTGTATTACAACTAGTGATTATTTATTAGTACTAAAATATTTCTCCAGGTATTAATTTATAATGACTAAATGGAACATAAAGAAAATAGTTTCAAAGTTAATCTGTTGCATAGCTATTGTTTTCAGAAGTTTTTATTGTTTTAACATAGTAAAAAAATCATAGTTGAATAATCCTCAGCTTTACAAAACACTCCCACTAGTATTACCAGGGTAACATATCTGAACCACTATGGTGATATAGAGACTGGGTTGATATATTTTCCAAGAGAAATAGAAAATGGGTTTTAGTAACCACTGTTGTTGATACCACAAGATAGCACATGAAGAGGGGCTTCTGGCTTCACAACATCATCTGCCCACATTTCAGGACCTGATTAGGAATCAGGCAGGTAGGGAAAGCAATGACCTATAAGCTAAGGTCAAAGTGCAGATATATGACTAGGTACCTGGTGCCACTTCACAAGGACAGATGAAACTATATTTGCATGTCTCTAATGGAGGGACTCAGAGCTCAGTCCTTGGCTCTGTGATCGTCAAAATTTAAATCAATGGCTTGGATGAAGGCATAGACAGAACACTTCCCAAATCTGCAGATGACATGAAACTCTGAGGGATTGCTAATGTGTTGGATGAGACAGTCAAGGTCCAAAAAGATTTTGACAGACTAGAACTATGGGCCAAACTAAGTAACGTGAAGTTTGTTACACAAAAATGTAGTTTTGTACTTGAATTTTAAAAAATCAGCTTCTAAAACATTATGATGGGAGGGTGTAGCTAGAT